ATATATAAATAAATAGATAGATAGATAGATAAATACAGAGAGAGTGTGAGTTATAATAAAATCGGTGTAACTTTTATTAAGTATTATATCACTTAATAATTTTATATTAAATGTGAATTTTGTAAATCTAACTGTTAGATTGAAAGTTCATATCACTTTGTATTTATATCAAATTTTGTTAAATTTGAACAACAACTTGAAAGTAATTAAAGTGTTCATATTTTAGTATATTTTGAAATGTATATATTACATCAATTTTATCTTATAAGAATGAAGTATCAAAATATCTAGGATTAATATAGAAATTTGTATATATAATCAAAAAATAAAAAAACTTTCAATCTAACAGTTAAATTTATAAAATTCACATTTAATATAAAGTTATTGAACAGTGTAATACTTAATAATTAATGTTATTATAATCTTTCTTATATATCACATAATGAACCAGTAGCCCACCTTGGACGGCGTTGTTCCGTCGTCTTAGTGGAATTTGAATTCATTTTAGTTGAAAAGGCGATAAAGTGTATAATGAGGACATTGAGATGCAGTTGGAGGCTGCTGCATGCTTGAAAATTATAAATATAGCTCACATTGCGAGACTTAGTTTCAAATGATGAGAAAATGACAAAAAATAGATTACCACACTCATGATGAAACAACTCGAGAATTACGCATGAAGGAAAATCGGAAACATCCTAGCTTAGAAAGGATTATGATATTTTAATCTTTTCATATTCTCAGTTCTTACATGCAAAAGTCAAATTAATTAAAAAGTTCTTCTCTGAACCTTTTACTTCGGAAATTATTTGTTATCTCAGCAGGAGATCGATGGATTGAATATAGCAACCAACAACAGAGGAATGGAGCCAGCAACGCCCGTTTCAAAAATTTCACACTAGTAAATTATATGAGGAGGGATCCGTTTACTCTAGGAGTAAGTGATGGAGCTAAGTTGAACAAGATTGATGAACTTCAACTCCTCCATGCTTAGGACCGAAATCTTTCCAAGAATGTAGTGATGATGATGATTTCTCTCAAAGTAGTTCACAAAATGTTTTTCTTCTTGGTTTCACAAGGAAAACACTCCAAGAAGGTCACAAAGACTTCACAAAATCAATTGTTTACTCTCTTCTATTCTATGTGTACTTGTTTCAAAGTGTGAGAACTGTTTATAAAGTTTTCCAGACCCAGATAATCGATTATTTTTAGGGATAATCGATTATTTTGTTCTTCATGAATTTTGGAAATCACTCAAGAACAGAATAATCAATTATTTTGCAGGATAATCGGTTATTCCAGAGAGTACCTTCTAGAATAATCGATTATTTCACAGATAATCGATTATTACAAGGTTCTCTCAACCTCTTGTTGGAACAATCGATTATTTTGAGTTGATTTTCAAAAATTTGATTTCACACTTCAAAAACTTTCCAAATTACTTTTAAACATCATTATACTCATTCTTAGACCATTTGGATTAAGATCAACTCATGCACAAAGCACACACATACATAAACAATAAACTCAACAAGGCAACTCAACATATAAGAACACATAAACTACTCCTATTACATATTTCTTTCGTGATCTTCATGTCTTCATTAGCTTATGTCCTTTGTTATCTTTAAGATTCTCAGAACTTTTTTTATCATCAAAACTCTTAGAACTTGATTCATCATCCATGAATCTCAACAAACCACTCCCTATGTTTACATGCTCATGCCCCCGGGTATAGAGGTAACTATTATGTGCAAAGGTTTGTATACAATTGTTTATTTCAAACAGGTGCGGAATTTAAACAAACATACAGATATGAAAGCCAAACTAATAAAACAAACAATGTAAAGGGGAAAAAATATTTGAATTATTATTCTTATTTTACTAATTTTATCTCATATTTGGGTCTGACCCTCTTTAAACTTCCCTAGTGGAGTCGTCAACTGTAGGAACCCAAAAAAATTTGATCTTGCCCACAGATGGTTTGGACATCCGTTTTGAAAATCTCATCAAAAATATCTGCAAGTTGTTGCCTTGTATGAAGATATGATGCAAAAATGGTGCCTGATTGAATGTGTTCCTGAATAAAATGGCAATCCACTTCTATGTGTTTGGTTCTTTCATGGAAAACTGGGTTGTTAGCTATGTGGATAGCTAACTGATTATCGCAATGCAAAATTGTAGAATCACAACAAGGAACTTGAAGAGCAGATAATAATCCTCTTAACCAGATAATTTCACTGGTAGCATGTGTCATTGCTCTATATTCAGCTTCATTGGAGGAACGTGAAATAGTGGTTTGCTTCTTTGTTTTCCATGAAATGGGCACAGATCCAAGTTTCATAAGATAACCTGAAATCGACCGTCTATTGGTTGGACAAGAAGCCCAATCTGGATCACAAAATCCTTCAAGATTTAAATCATTATGACGTGGTATGAGGATGCCTTG